CAAGTCCTTGATTTGTAGAAAGTGTTGAAGAAATATATTTATATAATTTGCTTCCGTTAAAACAATTTTGAATACTTCAGAAAGAATCCAGGTGAGCTTTAAAGCCTATAATTGGGCTGTTTCCGCTTGAAGCAACCATTTTGGTTTTGATCTAATTTGGTCTAAATGAATTTGGTGAGATGCATGCTCCTTCTCAAGCAAATTTGATCCCCAATTCAGCTAATCCATGAAAGTTAAGATACTGATTAAATTCCTTAAAAATGCTTTGAATTTCGGGAATGAGTGGGCTGATATAAAGATCCTTATGATCCTAATAAAAGTTGAGCTCTTGTTAGAGTTCAAGTTGAGTTTTAAGAATGAATAAATTAGTTGAAATGATCTAGAAGTTTAAATGAGCTCGTGTCATTTTTGATTTGTGACTTAAACATGCTTTAATTAATTGAACTTGAGCTCGGTGTTATGCTTAATTATACGAGTTCAAATTGTCTCACAAGTTAATCTATTTATTATGAAATAGAGAGTTTGTTGTAATTAAATATTCTGATAAAATGATAAAAAGGATTAAAAAACACTAATATTGTTGAATATTTGTATATTTTGAGTGTATTACATAATATTTTTTTTAAAAAGGTGGTTTACATGCTAATGAGTCAAATCATGAGTGTCTCAATCTTGACTTCAATTCTTACCTCATTGGACTCGATTCATGAGCTATTTATCAAAATGAATTTGAGCTGGTTCCCGAGTAACTTAACTTAGTTACTGTCTTAATATAATTAGTAGGGCTACTCGCATCAACTCATAGATCATTTATAATTTTGGCCTTAATCCAAAAACTATTTATTTTGTATCTTATTTTTATTACTTTACTATGAATTCACTCTTTTACTCATCAAAACATACTACTTATGTATGTCCCACATATAACTACAAAAATTCTTGTTGCATGCTGGAAATTTTAAGGCGAAAGAATGATAATTTAATGTTTTAGTGTTGCATGAAGATCCAATACACTAGTAGATAATAAAAAGTAGTGAGGGGAGACACCAATTATTTTTACTTGGAAAAACCTAGGAAAAGGAGAAAACCACGGGCATAGCCCTATCAGAATAATTCACTATCTGATTATAAATACATATGCTCACTCTTCTTCTGAATTAAAAAGATTGGTTTACAATGCTGATAATTATAGATGAACAATAGTAGTTCATTTGTAAAGACATTGAGTTACAAACAATGTAGTTGTTCGTGAAGGTTGTAGTCAACAACTACATTAGCGGCAGTTTGCCACAAAGACTATAGTTGGAAGTTGTAATATTAACACTCAACCACAAAGGCCGTATTAGTCGATGCACAACCAGTTGTTGGTCACAAAGGGCATGATTGAAAGATGTAACAGTAATGGTTAGTTGCTTAGTTCATAACAGGAGTCTCTAATAGCGCCAGTTGTCCACAAAAGCCTTATTTGGAAGCTATAACAGTAGATAATAGCCACAGAGACCATGGTTGAAAGTTATAACATTGATAGTTAGCCACATTGGTCGTAATTTGTGACTGCACCCCTTCTCTTAGGACCAAGGCACAATTTTACACCTAGGGGTGTAAACGAGTCAAACACGAGCGATCCGAGGCTCATCTCGTTTATATTTCAAGCTCAAAAGGTGCGTTCGTGTTCGGCTCATTTGCGTAGCGAGCAGAACACGAGCCGTTCACGAACAAAGAGTCGTTTTGACAACCCTAATCAGATAGCCATAAGATGTTAAGGATTAGGGCAAGATTTAAAAATTATTGTTTATATTAAAACATCATTTGAATCTAATTTAATAAATTGTATTCTATTTTTTTAATTAATACTTATAATTGATTATAAATCGTTATAGCCTTGTAGTCAATCAAGTTTTTTAAAAATACTACTCATCAAAGATATATATATATAT